ATTTTTATTTTTTGAATTTTTTTTTTTTTTTTGAATTTTTTTTTTTTGCGGGGGGGTCTGGAGCCGAGGTTGGGGGTGCCCAACCCCGGAACCCCGGAACCCCGCCGGGGCCCCGGGGCCGGGGCTCGACAACCCTGGTAGCCACACATTCCTAAGAAAGATCTGACCTCAGTGACAGTCTGAGGTCGTGGCCAGTCTCGAATACTAGCCACCTTCGCATCTTCCGGCCTAATCCCTTCCGCGGATACTTCATGACCCAAGTATAGTATCTTAGTGCGACCGAACTCACACTTCTCTAGGTTGACCTTATACTTGTGCTGTCGCAGGAGTGAAAGTACAGTCTCAACGTGTTGTGCGTGCTCCTCGACAGACTTACTAAAGATCAGAATGTCGTCAAGGTATACCACGACAAACTTATCTAAATGCTCATGGAAGATCCGATTCATAGCATGCTGGAATGTTCTCGGCGCGTTACAAAGACCAAAGGGCATCACTACAAACTCATACAGACCATAACGAGTCTGAAAAGTTGTTTTGTGTTGGTCCTCAGGTCTTATAGCGATCTGATGATAGCCGGATTTCAAGTCTATTTTGCTATAGTACTTGCATCCCTGCACCCTATCCAATAGGTCGTCTATGCGAGGTAGAGGCTCTGCGTTCTTCACAGTGATGGCATTGAGGCCTCTATAGTCAATGCACATCCTCAATGTACCCCCCTTCTTCGGTACGAATAGCACGGGAGATCCGTAAGGGGAAGTACTAGACCGAATCCATCCCTTCTTTGTCAGCTCTTTGAGTTGTCGCCGGAGTTCATCTAACTCGGCGGGAGCCATCCTATAGATCCTCCCCTTTGGGGTTTTACTCCCTGGGATGATTTCTATAGCGTGGACAACTTCCCTTTCTACGACCCCTGTAGGCTCTTCGAACAAATCAGGGAACTTAGCAACGACGCGTTCTATCTCTGCGGGTGTTTTAACAGCCTCCCCTTTCTCAAAGACGTACACTAGGTACATACCCTCCTCTTGGTTTTGCTTATAGTAATTGTAGAACGCTGATGCACACAAGCAGCCATAGGTATCTATAATGCTACTGGCTTTGAACTTAGTCAATCTGACAGTTCTGCCATCGGGCAACTTATGTTTGAGCACCTTCTTATCCCAGTCAAACTGGGGCTTAGCAACCTCAAGGTAATACATGCCTAACAACATGTCAAACGGTAAGTCGTCGCTAACCAAGAACGAAATCTTATAATTAAGTTCTCCTCCTCCATAGGAGAAGGTACAGACTACGTCCTTGATATAGTCTGTTACTATCATGTGCTCCTTGTTGGCCAAAGTAGATGCTNTCTCCTCCTCCATAGGAGAAGGTACAGACTACGTCCTTGATATAGTCTGTTACTATCATGTGCTCCTTGTTGGCCAAAGTAGATGCTACAGGTCTACTAAGGTGCCGTACCCGGTCCTGTAGGTGCAGCCTTTCCAAACAGTCGCGACTTATGTAATTCCGCGTGGAGCCAATGTCTATGAAGGCACCACATTTGCGGCCTCCTACATCGACTTCCACCACGAAATGTTCCCCTCTAGGACCTTTCCTTAGCGCCACCCAAGATTGGCGAGGGTCCTTGTTTGACCACTCACTTTCTAGATCTTCTAAGGCCTCAGACACATCCAACGTACAGAGCATAGTTTGGTCAGGATAAGTCTGCGGGGTGACTAAAGAGTCATTAGCTATGGCCTGCTCATGAAGTGGGGAGGGTATCGGGCCCACTTCATCTCGAGTAGAAGCAGCCGAAACTTCCACCGGCCTCACATGTTTCCCGAGCTAGAAGCCTGGGAAGAAGATGCTCCCATCTTAGGAGGTATCTTCTACGTGACCTTTGCGTTCTGACACTTGTACTGGGTGTGTCCGTATTCACCACAGTTTATACAAGCGCCACGCACTCGGCGGTCCCGCCACACGTCTTGATCAAGACCTGCCTTAACCCAATCAGACATTTTGGTTTGATTGGGTCTTCCCTTGACTCTTTGGTTGGCCCTTCCCTCGGCCACCTGCCTTAGCCTTTACTATTGCGGCGAGGGTGCTACCCTCAGCGGTCTCCTCGCCGTCGTACTCTGTATAGTCCACCAGGTCTGTGAGCTCGTCAATCTCCATTTGAGTCCCATCGGACTCAACCATCATCAACTTGACCCCCTTCTTCTTCCATTCCTGGGGACTCTTCTTCTTCTTCGCATCACTCTGAGAAGGTTGAGCGTTTCCTAGAGTGGCCTCCAAATATAAGGCTTTCCTAGACAACGTCTCAAAGGAGTGATACTCGAGGCGTGCCTCGCTGGCCAGCAAGTTCCTGAGGTTCTCTGGAAGACATCTGACAAACGTAGTCAACAGGAACTGGTCACTATAGTTAATGCCTGGAACGACGATAAGGCTCTCTATGGTAGTCGTAAGCTCTCTGACTGACTTAAACTTTCGTTGGCCTAGTCTGTTGATCGCATCAGTGGCTATTTGTGCCTGCTGAGGATTGTGCCAGCGAGCTTCTACCATCTCAAAGAACTGGTTCAAGGTAATAGACTGAGCCCAGTCCGTCATACGTCATCCATACCCGGCCTTTGAAACTATATCATCTAGCCATTTGGCTGCCTTACCCTCAAGGTAAGATGCAACAGTAATCACCTCCTCCTCTGGCAAGGTCCTCTTCGCCTTCACCCAAACCGGGACTGTTCTCAACCAAGTGTTGAGTTCTTCGTCCTTCCTCTCGCCTGAGAAGGCAAGAGGCGGTTTCATTGGGGTCTTAGGGTACCGTTGACCTTGCGGCTGTCCCTGTTGAGGAACACGTTGTTGCGGTGGTGTAGCTCCCACCGCTGGACCCGAAGAAGAAGACGCAACAGTCTGTGCGGCTGCTGCAGACGTGCCACTTGGTTGTGTGCCAGCTTGAACTG